CTTTAGCTGTGTGTGTCAGACCTTTAGCTGTGTCAATCAGACCTTTAGCTGTGTCAATCAGACCTTTAGCTGTGTCAATCAGACCTTTAGCTGTGTCAATCAGACCTTTAGCTGTGTGTGTCAGACCTTTAGCTGTGTGTGTCAGACCTTTAGCTGTGTGTGTCAGACCTTTAGCTGTGTGTATCAGACCTTTAGCTGTGTGTGTCAGACCTTTAGCTGTGTGTATCAGACCTTTAGCTGTGTCAATCAGACCTTTAGCTGTGAGAATCAGACCTTTAGCTGTGAGAATCAGACCTTTAGCTGTGAGAATAAGACCTTTAGCTGTGTCAATCAGACCTTTAGCTGTGTGTGTCAGACCTTTAGCTGAGACCTTTAGCTGTGTGAATCAGACCTTTATCTGTGTGAATCAGACCTTTAGCTGTGTGAATCATGTTTGGACTCGTCGCTCTGTTGTTTTGATCTGGTTTGTGGATCAGGTGACCAGCAGGGGGCAGCAGAGACTCCTGAGAAACATTTCAGCTCCTGGACTTGGTGTCCTGGTCTCAGGCGGACCAGGAGGACCCAACCAGGCGGGTCAGGCAGCCCGGAGCGGTCCAGCTCAACAGCTGCAGTGAAAAGTGAAACGGGCTGGATGCTCCAGCGGTTCTGGTCGGGTCCAGGAAGCCTCCTTTTCCTCTGCAGTGATGCGGCCTTGGAGCGGCGCCCACACCCTGACCTCTGACCTCTGTGGGGAAAGGTGGATGTCTGAGCTGAAACAGAACCGACACGCTAGCTGCAGGTTAAAAACACGTCACAGACTGACAGATGCAGGAAACAGAACTTTGAAACACGGGTCAGAGGGGTTCTGAAGCTCACAGCACATTAAAGACTGTAGAGCTGATTATGGAAGTGGTAGTAGCTGAGAGTCGTCCACAAAGGTTCTGCTGTTTGTTGGATTCTGGATCAAAGTAAACAAAAGTTTTTCTTCATCAGTTTTTATCAAACAGCTTCAACAGATCCACACAGACCCGGCTTTCAGCTCCAGGCAGGATGTGGAAGGTGGAGTACGAGATCTTCCTCCCATCCAGGACAGGATGTGGGAGGAAGGAGGAGGTGAGACGCTCCGTCCTGTCCGAGCCGAACATCGAGAGTCGGACCGAAGATAGCAGCAGGATGTGGGTCTGAACACACCGGGGTTCAGCACGTTTCAGTTTCCTCGAACGTTTCAGTGAGCCGAAGAACTGTTCCAGAAACACAACATATGTTTATCACATTTATTCAAGTTTATTTATTCAAGTTTATTATATTTTATTTATTCGAGGTTATTTATTCAATTTTATTTTAGTTATTAAAGTTTATTATTGGTTATTTATTCAAGTTTATTATAGTTATATATTTTTAAAGTGGCACAGCTGGATGTATGGACAGAAGGACAGTAGGACAGAAGGACAGAAGGACAGAGGGACAGGGACAGAAGGACAGTAGGACAGAAGGACAGGCACAGAAGGACAGAAGGACAGAGGGACAGAGGGACAGAAGGACAGAGGGACAAGGACAGAAGGACAGAAGGACAGGGACAGAAGGACAGAAGGACAGGGACAGGACAGAAGGACAGGACAGAAGGACAGAAGGACAGAAGGACAGGGACAGGACAGAAGGACAGGGACAGAAGGACAGGGACAGAAGGACAGAAGAACAGATGGACAGAGGGACAGGGACAGAAGGACAGGGACATAAGGACAGGGACAGAAGGACAGGGACAGGACAGAAGGACAGGACAGAAGGACAGGACAGAAGGACAGCAGTACAGGGACAGAAGGATAGAAGGACAGGGACAGAAGGACAGAAGGACAGGGACAGAAGGACAGAAGGACAGAGACAGAAGGACAGAAGAACAGAAGGACAGGGACAGAAGGACAGAAGGACAGGGACAGAAGGACAGGGACAGAAGGACAGAAGAACAGAAGGACAGAAGGACAGAAGGACAGAAGGACAAGGACAGAAGGACAGAAGGACAAGGACAGAAGGACAAGGACAGAAGGACAGAAGGACAAGGACAGAAGGACAGGGTCAGAAGGACAGAAGGACAAGGACAGAAGGACAGAAGGACAGGGACAGAAGGACAGAAGGACAGAAGGACAGAAGGACAGGGACAGAAGGACAGGGACAGAAGGACAGAAGAACAGAAGGACAGGGACAGAAGGACATCTCTTCAGGCTGTTTCAGCTCATTTGATAAAAACTTGAAAAGATTCAGTTCTTGGTTGACCCTGATCAGGAGAATCAGGATTTCTGATCTGCTGACTCAGGTTGTTGTTGTTCTTATCCATTTGAAAAAGTCAAACCTGTCAGAGTCTCATCCTCTCATCAGCTTTAAAGCAGAAATAATATAAATAATGTTCAACGCTGACGTCTTCCAATCTGTAGGACTCTGGTTTTGGGTGGTTCAGGTTTTGGGCTGGATTTGGTCTTAAACCTGCCTGAGGTCCACATATTGATCTCCTGGATGTTTGTGAGAAGAGGAGAACTTGTGGAATTTCCTCCATGAGAGAATTTCCAGCAGCTCGGAGGACTCAGAACAACCGTTGAATAGAAGGAAGTTCTGCTGGTTGACTTTTTCCTCCCACAAAAGACGCATTTCCTCTCAGAGCGTCGGCTGGACTCATCAGAGACTGGGGGACGCTCTGAGAGCAGCAGGGGGACATGGAGGCTCTGCTGCGGGTTCTGGTTCTGGTTCTGGTTCTGGGATCAGGCTGTGCCTGTGAGTATAGAGATGCTGTTGTTGTTTTTTATTTTCACATTTAGAAGCTTCATGTTGATGTTTGTTCAGTCGTCATGAAAAGTTCTCAAAGACGTTGATGTTTTTATCACCAACAGGAAACAGAAGCAGCTCAGACCATTTTTCACACTGATGGATATCAAAACCAGAAAACCATTTCCCAAAACTTGAATTAGAAAAGAAAATTATTTTTTAATTATCCTGCTTTTGTAATTTACTTGATTTTGTTTGAAAAGAAGCACTAAATTTATTACAGAAAGCAATAGAACCAAGCAGACTATGTAAAAAAAAAAATCAATCTTCTAAGTAAAAATCAGCTTTTTCATGAAAATCTGTTTGAGTTTTGCTCTGGATATTCAGCTGAGCTGAGGTAGTGATGGTTTGTAGTCAGAGCCTTGTTCTTTCATCTTTAATGCAGTTAATCTTATAAAATAACAGATGAGGAAGAATCAAAAGGTGTTTGTCCGAGTAGAACTGGTCCAGAAGTTCAGTGTTTTTGAGTTTGAGAGGATCGAATACTACTCCTACTACTACTACCACTACTACTACTACTACTACTACTACTACTA